TCACCTCCGCAAGATCCACGGGGTGCAGCAGAACTACGCCTACCGCGAGCGGCGCGCCAAGCTCTTCGTCTGCGAGGAGTGCGGCTTCACCTGCGCCGCCGGCGAGGAGTACTACGGCCACGTGCGGCGGCTCCACCCCGGCAACGCCCTGCTGCGCACGTACCTCCGCAAGCAGGGCGCCGCCTCCCTCCGCTTCCTCCTCTACCCCGGCGGCTACTACGCCTGAGGCAGGGCCCAGAGCCTCGTGCCGTGGGACTTCCAGCACCAGTGCATGCTGGGATCCCCCAGCAATCCGCTCCAGGGGATATCTAGCCACCCGACAGGGCTAGTACGGATTGTTCCCTACAGCCAAGCCCCTTCTATGGGACAAGACTCTACTGGGCTGCTGGGACCTTTTCATCGATTCACAGAGCTTAAGGCCAGAAGGGATCCTTGTAATCGTTGAGTCAGGCCTCTGTATAACACAGGCCCTCGGGCTGCCTGGAATTGGTTCCTGTTTGAAGGAGAGCAGAGCTCTTAGAAAAACAGTTCACGTGGGAGGCTCCGTCACAGCCCTACATCCTGTACAGTGGCTGATTCGCCTCCCTGTAAAACATTTCTAGTCCGTTTGTCAAGCTGCAGCTTCCAACCAGCGGCTCTTGTTCGATCTTTGCCTGCTAGATTGAGGAGCCCTCTGTTACCCAACTTCTGTTCCCAACGTAAGTACTCTCCGGCTGTGAGCAAGTCACCTCTTTGCCTTCTCTTTGATGAGCTTGAGTGCCTTTTGCGAGAAGGCCTGTTTTCCAGTCCTTCAGCATGCTGTCACCGATTCTCTGAACTACAGCGTGCCTCAGTGATCTCCCCCGATTTCCCCACGTTGTTTGACAGAGATCAGCCCTCCCAGCCCTCAGTTTTCTAAACACAGGTGGCGTGTCCAGCCTCGTTAGAATGAGAGGGGATTCGGAGACGGATCAGAGGCCTGGAAACGCTCTCCGAGGAAGAGAGATCCTAACGTTTAGGATGCAAATAAGCAGAGACGGGAGAGAGAAGGGAACGCAGGAGCTTCTGTTCTCCCTGTCTCATAACACAAGGATAAAGGGGGAAGTGCATTGTCACATAATGCGGTATTTAGCCTGTGGAACTCTCTGTCACGGGATCCTGCTAAGTCCAAAAGCGAGTGGATGTTTCCATGGAGAATAGCCAGAGTTCATGCGTTAGGCAAGGGGACAAACCTCCTGCTGCATGGTTTAAGCTGATCCCTAATAGAGATCAGGCGAGATCTAGGGTGGGGACAGATTATCCCACAACTGCCACCGCTAGGTGCCTACATTTTCCGCTGAAGCGGCTGGTCCTGGCCGCTATCAGAGCCAGGATAGTGGGCTACGTGCCTCAGGTCTGAGCCTGTCTGGCTGGTCCTTGTGTTCCTAACGAGCAGCTGCTGCAGGGGAAGGGGTCACGGTAGCTGAAACACATCCGCTGCTCTCCTGGTGAGACAACCGCCTGTTGGTAGCAACAAAGAAAACCTTCAACCAGGAAAGAGCTGAAAGGACAACACACCTGAGGGGCCTTTGAGAGGGCGGATCCCCAGAAACAGTCCCGGCAGCATCACCTTTTCAGAGCCTGGAGTATTCACTGCAATGGGACACAACTTGTTTGTTCTAATTTCCTTTACTGTGGTATAATCCTCACCCAGCAGCTTGTAGCTCTTAACAGATCCTTTCTTTAGCTCTATTCCTGATAAAGTAGAGCAAGGTGACCCATCCTGCCCAAGGGGTTGTGCCCTCTCTCCCGAGAGGCAGGTCCCTCTAGTTAATAAGGTAGTGAAGACACACTCTTAGGCTACAACAGGCCCGATTTCACAGAAGTACGTGCTGGTGTGACTTGAAAAATAAAACCTTTTTATTAACAAAAATACAACGGTTAGATAGAACCAGGAACAGAGGCTCTTCCAAGATGGGAACAGAGCCCAAGTGTTTCTAACAACCGGGGGCCAGAGGTGATGTCAGGTCTCAAACGGCTGCCCCTTTATTCAGTCCAGCGGTGGCCACAGTGCGGGGCAGTGCATACGTAATACAACCTCATGGCGTCCTAGACAACAGGAGAAAGCAACAACTGAGTGCGGCCCAGGAACATCTTGATGCCAACTAGTGGGAGGTGCAGGGACTCAGATTCCAAGGCTAGGAGGGCCAGTTGTGATCCTCTAGTCTGACCTCCATCCTAGCCTGAGCAAGAGAACAGCCCCAGGTCTCTTAGAAACACATCCCCATCTTGATTTAAACATTGTCCTTGATGGAGACTCCACCAGGACCCGTGTTCCAATGACTAATTACTCTCCCTGTTCAATGTATGCCTTATTCCCAGTCTGAATTTCTCTAGCTTCAACCTCCAGCCATGGGAGCATGTTAGCCCAGAGATCCTCAGACCTCAGTGGTTCAGGAGCCAGATTAGCAAGCAACATTTCCCGAAACAGCCACAGTTGTGGGAATTCATTGTTTCATTTTCTATAGTACTATAGATTCATATTGAAAGAGTAGGATGGGAAACATTGAGTTATATATAATTCTCACAGCAAAATGACCAAATATTATTGTATCAACTACAATTGGCTAATAACATATTACAAGCATCCTGATTGGTTAATAACTTAGATTGGTTAATAATTAAGTGTTTAAATATGTGCTGCAAAGAGCCGCAGGAGACACATTAAAGGGCCACTTGTGGCTCTCCAGCGTCAGTCTGTGTATGACTGTTAGACCTTTCTCTGCTAGACTGAAGAACCCATTTTTATTAAATATTTGTTCGCCCTGTCAGTACTGAGAGACCCCTCAAGTCACCCCTTCACCTTCTCTTTGTTCTGCTAAATAGATTGAGTTCCTTGAGGCTATCGCAATAAGCCAGGTTTTCTAACCCTTTGAGCATTCTTGTGGCTTTTCTCTGACCCCAATTTATCATCAACATCCTTCTTGAATGGTGGGCACCAGAACTGGACCCAGGATCCCAGCAGCGGTCACACCAGGGCCAAACACAGAGGGAAAGTAACCTCTCTGCTCCGACACGAGATTCCCGTTTATGCATCCCAGGATCGCATAGGCTCTTTTGGTCCCAGCATTGCACTGAGAGCTAAGAGTCAGCTGATTATCCCCCCGCACCCTCAAAATTTATTTCAGCATCACTGCTTCCCAGGATAGAGTCCCCCATCCTCTAAGGATGACCTGCATTCATTGTTCCCAGATGGATACATTTAGTTGTATTAAAATGCATGAGGTTTACAGGGATCCCCTGGGTCTGGTACCTTACTAGTTCTCCAAAGAGTGTCACAAAGTCTCTACGAAAAGCCTGTGTCTCACTGGTGTCCATAATCATTGCAAAACGTACATACCAATAATATGCAAGGAGCTGGGTATCTATACTGAACATTATGTTCTTATGGTGTGGCTTGGGGCCTGTCACCAGAAAAGGTGAGAAATGGGTTTCTTTCAGGCAAGAGCTGTTTATCTCGCTGTCTGCCTACCTGTAAAGCGAGTACTGGATGGGTCACAATGGACATCCATTTACAGTCTGAGCAAAATGCTAATCAAGTGATCACAGAGTCTCCAGGGGTTGTCCTGTTTGCAAGTGCAGACAATGGAGTTTTGGACTATAACCGTAAAGACAAACTCCACAGAGGAGGAACGCGTGCTTGTTTCATGAACGGAAGATCCCGGGCAGGCCTGGCTGTAATACGCTGGAAGGATTTTGAGAGAGCTTTTGCTCTATGGCACGACAACGTCGTCTTAGTTAAGTTTAGGCTCTAGGATGCGTGGTATGGTTTTATTTTCTATGTAACCCTGTGTTTCCAGTAATTCTGATGTCTATCCTTTGATGCTGTTCTTTGTTAAATAACGAGACTCTTGCTTTCTCTATAAACAAATTAAGTGCTGTGGGTTGAGCGAAGCTGTGTTCTGTGGTGTAACTGATATGCTGTGATGTACTGTGGGGAGGAGCTGGGAGTTCTGTGAGCGCCCAGTGGATCAGGGGTTGGACACCACAGGGGGATGCTTGAGGATTGCTGTGTCTGCTGTTAACCTGCAAAGAGACGGTAGGACCTGCGTAGGCCTAGAGGGGAGGCTGGTGGTGGTGGAGAGCTACGCCCTGGCAAGCACAGACCAAGCGTCCTCATGCTAAGGGCAGCTGGGGGTGAGGTGCATCACACTCAGACTAATCCATTCCTTGATGGGATGCAGCCCAGTCCATCTAGCTTCAACTTCCAGCCAGTGGCTCCTGTTACAACTTTGAAACCGCTCCACATGGGCCCAAGCCAGGCAGGTACATGGAAATAAGCCCCCAACTAACTCTACCTTATTCCAAACCTAGGAGCAGATCCCCTCACCTCAGCCCTTGCGCTGTGAGACTGGAAGAATACTGCTTCTTTGTGCCCGCACCTGCAAAGAAGGGACAGGTCAGCATTGTATCAGAGTACGGATGTAAGCTCAGAGAACGGATTTGGGTTGGCAGCGGTGTTTAGCTGGGAACGAACCAGCAGGATCACTGGGAGTCTTGTGGTTAAACACATGATGTTATTGTTAACCATGTTTATTACAGTTGTGGCTAAAGCCCAGTCAAGATCAGGCCCCATGGTGATAAGTTCTGTACAGACAGTTCCTATCCCAGGATCTATCAGCACTGCAATAAAAGTCCCCTGAGGGCTCAGACTGCAGGGCTATGAATTGCAGTTCAGAAGTGCCGGCTCGGGCAGGGGTTTTAGGAAAACTGGAGGGGGCAGGAGCCGGAGGAGAAGGGGTGGCAGGGGAGTGCAGGAAATGGACACAATCCCACCTGCTAGTAAAATGGTGCAGGGAATTTAAGGAGGCAGAATGCAATTACCCAAGCCTGGACACACACAACCGACCTGGGATCTTTAATGGTCACAGGTCGGGAGGTTCTCTGTTTAACATTTCATCTGAGAAATGGCACCTCTAGATAGATGGAGCTGCCTTGTTGGAGGGGCCAACCCTCCCTAGTGAGCACTACAGCCTGCTGCAGCCAGGGTTTTCCTTGGCAATCTCCCCACCAGGAAATCCTGCTTAGCTTGTGAGACTGTAGCTAGAGGTTTCCAGATAAGTGACTGTGTTGGTTTATCTTCAGACTCTTGGAAATCTTGCATGTCAGAGCTAACCAGTTCATGTAACCCTCAGGCCACTGGCCATTTCCACACCCCAAACACTTAAAAGAATGGCTGGCAGCAGGCTCCATAGGGGTTAACACTCACTTCTGACATGGGTGATCCTCTGTCCGGGGCAAAGTTGGGTCCTGGGAAACGTCCGCAATGATTTGTGTCAATTCACTGCAATGAAAACAGATCTGTTAGGAGCTAAGAATCTATGAGTAATGAGCTGCCTTCAGGGCAGACAGGGACCATGATAATCATACGACTCCACCCTGCGTTCAGACTGACAGACGTATGGGAAAGACATCCAGTCTTGACCTCAATACTTCAAGTGATGGAAAATCCACCCTGTCCTTAGGCCAGTTGTTCCAATGGTTAATTCCCCTCCCTTAAAAATATGCATCTTTATTTCTAGTCTGAATTTGTCTAGCTTCAACTTCCAGCCACTGGGTGCTATTAGGACTTTTTCTACTAGGTGAAATAGCTGCTTATCACCCTTCATGCAACTGGACCCATATTCCCCCTCTACGGTCCAGCACCAATTCCAAGTGCTTCATGATGACCCCGCTGATGGATGGGGCTGCCCGCATTCAACAAGGGGGGAAAACCAGGCATTAAGAGGTGAAGTGACTAGCCCAACATCACACGGCGTGGC